AGGGACCTAAGCAACTTTTTAAAAACACCTGGTTTACATCAAGAACTTCCACTTATGATGTGATTTACAAAAGAGGTCTCCAGGACAACCAGGGTTTGAACTGCGTGTCCCCCAGGCACACACACCCCTGGGTGACTGACCCCCAAGGCAAGCTGCCTGAATCCTCAAGCCCCCTTTCTGTCCACGAGGCTGGAAAAGTCTGCCCCCGGGCAGCCCAATCACACAAGACACCATCGTTGGCCTACCATAAGGGTGTTTTCCAAACCAGGAAGATACCCTTTATACTCAAGGCTAAGCCAACCTGAGTATCAGTCCAGGCACCTAATTTTACCACAAAAACTGCATTAAAAATGTGCTGAAAAACTCGGCTTATACACGAGTATATACGGACTTAAAAGCCCAGCCCTTTCCCAGTGGGGAGAAATTCCCTGGTGTGGCATTTCTCAAGGAAAAATCGTAGCGGGGGCTGGGCTCCCAGTCCCTCCGCTCCTGTCCAAGACTGGCCCTACTCTGCGGGTCCCTCAGCTCTGGTCCACGGGTTGCCACCTGAGCGGTTCTGACTCTCAACAGCCCCATGTGGTGGGCACAGTCGCCTGCCCCCGGGTCCCGAGATGGCCATCTATCCTCACAGGGCAGAGCACCCCATCTTGCTCCCCTGGGCTCACCAGTGGGTCCAAACTGCCCTGTCCATTTTAAGCAGGAATGTGTTAAATGGCACCCATGTACACAGCAAGGGAGCCCTGTGGCGCAGTGGTTAACACACGGGGGCTGCGATCCACAAGGTCAGCAGTTTGAAACTACCAGCTGCTCCGCAGAAAGAGGGGTGAAGGCTCGGGGCAGAGACCCAAAGCCCATCTATAGACAAAGGAGCATCCCCCCACAGAGGGGTCTCAGGGAAGGGATGAGTCCACCAGGGTGCAGTAAAGCACCAATGGACCACGCAATATTCCTCTGGTTCCTTGAGGCCTCCCCCCCCCACTATCATGACCCCAGTGCTGCCTCTCACTTCAGAGCAGACCAGAGCATGTGCACGGGTACAGATAAGAGAGACGCTCACGACACACAGAATCCAGGAACAAGGAATGAGACTAGCGACAGCAGACGGGCAGGAGAAGGGAGGAAGGGGAAACTGATCGCCACATAACCACAC